GTCCTCGCGGCTGCCCCCTAGCCCAGCGCAGGCACGGGCCCCCCGTGGCGCCCCCGGGTCAGCGCGATGGGAGCGGGAGGGGCGGAAGGCGGGCGGAGGCTACAGGTAAAGGGGCGCGCTGTCGTTTTACTCAGGGGCTTCGCAGAACGCCTTTCACCCGGGAGGACGAGGCTCCGACACCCCGAGTGTCTGCAAGCTTGTCTCCTCCGTGCTCCTTGGGGGCTCGAGTGGGGTGGGGTTGGGGTTGTGTCGGGAAAGATCCCAGAGCTTGCTCCTGGGAGAAAAGTGGGGGGGGGGCGAATTTAAGGAAGGTAGAGGTCTCGGGTTTCTCTCGCTCAGTCGCGGGGTGAGGGTGTCTGAAAAAGATGAAAAGGAAAACCATAAATGGAGGCCTTTGCAAAAAGCATTCGAAAATTCCTTTGGCATCAGACCTTAACGTATGATTTCTAATGCTTTTTTGGGCTGGACATTTCCTTTCTTATGGCATACTAATTACGGTTCTGTTTATGCTAGTATGAGGTTTGAGTCTTTCAAAAAGACCTGTTATTCCCATAAAACTTTACATATAGATATGTGTGTGTGTGTGTGTGTGTGTGTGTGTGTGTCTGCCTATCATATGGACGATTCATGATTTCGTGTTTTTCTTTTAAAAATATAGCCATCTCCAAGTATTTTGGAAAATCAGAGTATCCCGCAGCACTGTATAAGCAATGCTATTACTAATTTAACCCATATGTATAAAACCTTCACTCTTTAGATAATGTCTGCATTTTACATTGAGCACAAGTCAATGTCTCCAATAGATAATGCTGCATTTGCTTTTCCTAGAGAAGATGTCATTGGTACTAAAGATGCTTTTATTACTCAATATTGGTTTTAGTTTCAGAATCTAGTAATAACTATGTGACTATGAATACAGGTGGAAATGAGTTCTCAACAGTTTCCTCGGTTAGGAACCCCTTCCACTGGGCTGAGCCAGACACCTTCACAGATTGCCAGCAGTGGCTCTGCAGGATTGATAAACCCAGCTGCTACAGGTAAGATGCGTACTATTCTCTATTACTTTCTGTTTTAAGAATATTGCCAGTTTCTCACTTAAAAGTTAGCAAATTTCTCCTTGGATTCTGGTTAAATACTAGTTTATTGATTTGAGCAAAGGGTATATTACTATGATTATATAAGGCTTTTTTTTTTGCTTCTGTTTTAACCACTTCACATACACTAGAGTATGTGTACAGCCTATGGTAAAGTAGTATACCTATAAGAATTTTTTTAGTGCATTAATTGGTTCTCATTTAATTAATTCTCAAGGGTATTATAATAGTGCCTTGAGGAAGATCAACAGTGTGTAAGGGGAGGTTTTTTGCTTCTTAAGAGCTTACTATCTAGGAAAAGAAGTTGGTTTTTTTTTTATTGTTGTTGATTTTGGGTTTTTTTTTGGTTAGTCATGGGGCCTGAACTCTGGGCCTGGGCACTGTCTCTCAGCTCTTGAGCTCAAGACTAGTATTCTACCATTGAGCTACCGTGCCATTTCTGTTTATGTGGTGCTGAGGAATCGAACCCAGGGCCTCATGCATGTGAGGCAAGCACTCTACCACTGAACCACCTTCCCAGCTTGAAAAAGAAGTTTTAAAAAAGTATATGTAGGGAGTGGAGCTCTGGTACAACTGGTCGAATGCTAGTCTTTAGGGGAAAAAAAAACAAACTCCAGGACAGTGCCCAAGTCCTGAGTTTAAGGCCTAGGATGGACGCCAAAAAGAAAAAGGAAAACAGGCGTGCTGAGTGCCGGTGGCTCACACTTGTAATCCTAGCTACTCAGAAGGCTGAGATCTAAGGATAACAGTTTAAAGCCAGCCCTGGCAGGAAAGTCAGTGATAATTTTGTCTCTAACCAGCAAAAAGCTGTGCGTGTGCGTGTGTGTGTGTGTGTGTATGCAACTTGCTTCTTTTTTGGGGAGGAGAGGGTTGGTCGTGGGACTTGAACTCTGGGCCTGGGCACTGTCCCTCAGCTCTTGAGCTCAAGGAGAGCTCTCTCCCACTTGAGCCACCGAGCCACTTGCACTTTTCTGGTGGGTAATTGGAGATAAAAGTCTCAAGAACTTTCCTGCCCCTGGCTGGCTTTGAACCAAGACCCTCAAATATCAGCCTCCTGAGTAGCTAGTATTATAGGCGTGAGCCACTGACACTCTGCCCAAGACTTGGTTCTTATTCATAGTATCTACTTTGAGTGGTTCTCAGTGAGGAACAATTTTGCCTTGGGAATATTTGACAGTGTTTGGAGACATATCCGGTTGTCACAACTAGGGGGTGCTATTGGCATATGACAGGTGAAGGGGATGGCTGCCTTCTTACCCCTCAATTATCCAGGCCAATGAATAGTGCTGAAACAGAGAAACTTCAAATGCTGCTTTTCTGTATTAAAAGATGGCATTACGAAGTGAAATAAACTCCCTTTTCTGTTTTTTTTCCCCCCTTACCACCACTAAATTCTTGTGTTCCTTATGGTAAACTGTATAACTATCTAATCATAGTGTAAACTAAGTTTGAGGCATTGTTACTTTTTCTGTGTCTCTAACTCTCTCTGTGTGTCTTTGTTTCTCTCCTCTTTCTCTCTTGGAAATACAGTCTTAATCTGTAACCCAGCCTGACTTTAGCCTTAGCCTCCTGAAATGCTGGGATCACAGGTATATGCAACCATGTTTGACTGTCCTTGTTTTTTATCTGTGAGTTGTGGCCCTTGTAAAATATTTTAGCCTCATTTCCTATTGCTTTGCCTACTCCTGAACTTCAGTTTTTGTTACAAATTTATTTAGTTCTTTAGACTTGAAGTTATTTTAAGCTACTTTATGCTTACTGCTCTGAAATATTTACTCTTGTTTTTTGTATGATCAAAAAGTTCCAGTTTTCATGATCCTATGCCTTTGCATATTTTTTCCCTATGCCAAACTTTATTCCTTCCATACTCATTTATTTGGTTAATTTTTATTTTTCCTTGAGAGTTGATAGATGTCATCTTCTTGAGAACTCTTTACTGATTCCATCTTCCACAATAGTTCTGATAGTGATTTTCCTAGAATCAGGGCTACTTGAAAGCTAGGGCCATGTGTGTCTCATGCACCTTTGTATGTACAAGACTTAGTATTTGAAAAGCATGGAGTTATGGTCAACAGTTTCTTGTAGAGTCACCTAAGGGTTTGGGCTTTATTTATTTATTTTTTTTGGTCTATTGTGGGGCTTGAACTCTGGGCCTGGGCATCATCCTCAGCTCTTCAGTTCAAGGCTAGTGATCTACCACTTGACCCACAGTGCCACTTCTGGCTCTTTCTGTTTATGTGGTGCTGAGGAATCGAATCCAGGGACTCATGTATGCAAGATAAGCATTCCATCACTGAGCCACCTTCCTAGCCCCTTTCTTTCTTTTTTTATTCCTTAACATATTTTTTCCCATAAACCACGTACATCCTGGAAAATCAGTTAGTATACGGCAGAACAGTTACACATATAAGCTTCTCTTAGGCTCTCATCAGCTGCTTACGCCCTTCTGTCTGTATTGATAATTTTATATGGTCAAAAAATGTTGGTATAAATATCCAAATGGCCCTTAGCAGAAAAAGGTGTCTTCCCCTAGAAAAGATGTAGTTTCCTAAGTTGAATATTTTTTAACTTTTTTCTTTGCTAGGAGTCAAACTACTTATTGAAAATAGTGTTACTAGTTGGGTACTGGTGACTCATGTCTAACAAGTCAGGAAAATGAGATCTGAGAATCATGATTCTAGCCAGCCTGGACAGACAAATCTGAAAGACCAAAATGCCAGAAGTGGGGAGGTAGAGTACCAGCCATGAGCAGAAAAAGCTGAATTCAAGCCTCCTTACAGGAACCAAAAAAGAAATGGGGGAGGTGTTAGCAATAATTATCTTCAGATTTTGTTGAAAAAGAAATCTTTGACTTATGCCAGAAATGTCTTTTGGCATAAGAAATTTGACTTCTGAAAAGCATGTACATGTGTGTGCATATTGATTTTTAAAATTTTATTCTTATTTTATTTTTTGATGTTTTTTAAAAGAAAATAGAAGGCTTTTTCCTAAGGAGTTAGGTGGCTATGGTTTTTTGGTTTTTCTCAGTTGTGGGGCTTGAACACAGGGCCTGGGTTCTGTCCCTGAGCTCTTTTCTCAAGACTTAGTACTCCACCACTTTGAGCCACAGGTCCATTTCTGGTTGGTTCTGTTTTTTTATTGCTCATATTACGAGAGATGATCTGAGGTCCTACGTATGCCAGGATTTCAGGTATAATATATATTCATAGTTAAATATGGTTAATATTTCAAAATATTTTTTTCTGTTAAAATTGAACTGAAATAAATGCGGATACCTGGAAGGAAATGATAAGTGAATTTCCAAAGAGTCTAACAGGAAATAATTGATAAAGCCTATTACAAATCAGTATTCCTGGACAAATAGGTTTAGGGAAGAGTTATGAAATTGTACATTTTCTTTAAAATTTTTATTAGAGGAAAGTATATTTGGAAGAGAGGAGGTTAAAAATCAGTATAAAATTGAAGCAAAACTGGGCTTATTCAGTTATAACATGATGCTGTATACACAAAATGCTAGTAGAGCTGGGTACTGGTACTCACTTCTAGCTACTCTAAAGGCTGAGATCTGAGAATCAAGATTCAAAGCCAGCCTGAGTAGACAAATCTGAAAAATGATTATCTCCAACTTGCCAGCAAAAAGCTAGAAGTGGAGGCATGACTTAAGTGGTAGAGCACCAGCCTTGATTGGAAAAGGCTAAGCAAGAACACAAGATCCTGAGTTCAGGTCTCAGTACTGAGTAAAATGAATTGAATAAAATGCTTTTAATAAGTTGGTATACAAAATCAAAGTATAATTATAAGTCTACTGGAAAAGAATGAATTACTTAAATGTCATTTATTATTACAAAATAAAAATATCGATGGATTAATTTAACAAAATGAATCCTGGAGTTGGAAGACTGACACATTGCTGAGAGAAATTAAAGGACTACGAGAGTCTATGAATTGAAAGCCGCCCTTTGTACAATTACTTAAAAGACAAAAAATAGCATAAATAAATATAAAAACTTGTCCTTCGAAAATACAAAGAAATGTCTATCATGTTCATGAGTTGGAGCACAACTTTTAGCATATCACTTCTTCTCAAAGTGATCTATAGAGTAAAAAAATACCCTAGTTTGAGCCCAGAGCCGGTGGTTCAAGCCTATAATCTTAGCTACTCAGAGCCCGTGGTTCAAGCCTATAATCTTAGCTACTCAGAGCCGGTGGTTCAAGCCTATAATCTTAGCTACTCAGGTGGCTGAGATCTGAGGATCATAGTTCAAAGCCAGCCTGGGCAGGAAAGTCTGTGAGACTCTTATCTCAATATATGACTCAGAAAACCAGAAGTGGTGCTGTGGCTTAAATGGTAGAGCACTGGCCTTGAGCTGAAGAGCTGAGGGACAGTGCCCCAGGCTCAGAGTTCAAGCCCAGTACTGACAAAAAAAAAAAAAAATCCTAGTTAGAATCTCAGCAGATTCTTTTGGACAACTTGACAGTCTGACTTGAAACTTTATTTGGAGCTCTAAAGAATTTGGTAAGGCAATTTTCATCAAGAAGAAACTCATTATAACTTTATTTCAAAACTTGCTACAAAACTATACTAAGATGATACAATGTTGACATAAAGATAGAAATATAGATCAGTAAATATACTAAAAAGAACAAAGTAGAACAAAGTAGAAGATCAAGAAATAGACCCAGCTGGGCGCTGGTGGCTCACGCCTGTAATCCTAGCTACTCAGGAGGCTGAGATCTGAGGATCGCGGTTCAAAGCCAGCCCGGGCAGGCGAGACCGTGAGACTCCTATCTCCAATAAACCACCAGAAAACCGGAAGTGGCGCTGTAGCTCAACTGGTAGAGCGCTCGCCTTGAGCTGAAGAGCTGAGGGACAGCGCCCAGGCCCAGAGTTCAAGCCCCACGACCGACCAAAAAAAAAAAAAAGAAATAGACCCATACATGTA